GATGGATGGATGGATGGATGGATGGATGGATGGATGGATGGATGGATGGATGGATGGATGGATGGATGGATGGATGGATGGATGGAGGAAGGGAAACTTGCTATTCCTCATTCAAAAGGGTCTCATGCTTTACTCACTATGCTAAGGGAACGATAAGGGGAGGAGGGAAACTTTTTGTCATCCAGACTCTTTCGTAGAAAGATGGGGAAACACAAGACAAACAAACAAGCATGCAAACAAAAATTTCATTCATTAATTGATTCACTGTTTATTGTGACAGGCTTACCTACATCTGATTGTTGTGAACAAAATGCCAAATCTCCTCAAGAGTGGCGGAATCATTCCGACATCAGAAAACTAGATGTTATATTCAACAATACCATCATGATCATGTGTTTCCTCAGTTTAACTGAACAAGACTTCTGTGTTCTGCTGAATTCTGTTGATCAAAAGATATTGCAGTTTTTAGATTCTTGTTTTGCAATCTAAAGTTTATGGAATAAAATGGTCAATGAAAGACAATGTTTCAGAAACTTAGGAGTACGAGCCAAAATTTCACTAAGCATTTTCATGCAGCTACTTTTATTCCTGCAGAGAGACAGCTGGGTGAAATGTAGGCATTATAAACCATGAGAAACAGAGGATAAAAAACAAACAGGTTTTCCTGGAGAATGTTTGGCTTATAAAACATTTTTTTCAGGAAATTTATAAGAAGAAAATTATTTTTGGCAGACCATGAAGTTAAAGTCAACAAATGTCTAAAGCCACAGTGATAATTGTTTTTGCAAATTACAGATTTATTCAAAAATATTTAATCAATGCCTGTTTTTAGGAGTTATGCTTTTCATGTCTGCATATTTATTTATACATATATTTTAAAAGTCTGTTTATGGCTAACTCAGAAAGGCAGTTCTGCACCTTTATGAAGCTTTAAGTAAATAACCTATTTTTTATAGGTTGTATTTTGATTATTCTGGTTTACTCTCCCTGCTTTAAGATTAAAGACCAACAAACCATGTTAACGCTTTAGATTCTGGACCATTTAGGTTTGAAAATAAGGTTTAGAACAGCACTTGAGTCATTTTACAGCTTAATTCTTAAGGTTTATTCTTAAGTTAAATTATGGAAATTATGCTGTAGAATTAAAAAAGTACTAATAATTACAAGTTCTGGGTTGAAGCTGTGAAGCTGTCTTTGTCTCAATAGTCATATTGGGGGTAATTTCACTGTGAAAATCAGGAGAGAAAAAAGCAATTAACTTGAAGAAATGTTTCCCATGAATGCTCCTAGATCACGTAAAAGCTTTTGTAAAAGCATTCAGAGGAAATAAATGTACAAAAACAAATCAGCAGATGATGGAACCTGCACGCCGTCTCCCGCTCTGATAAACCTTTTTAGCACAGCGTTTCATCTAAATGGTTGACATCCGAGTGCTGTACAAGGCAAAGCATAGAAACAGAAACTAAAGCAATATGAACCCGAAGCGCAAGTGAGGAAAAATGCATTTGAAGAACCAACTAAATTGATTGTAGAAGATGGAGAGAAACAAAATGAGTTATTGGGCATTCGATCCTGCTGCAGTCTGGGAGACGGCCTCGCAGTCCAGATGGCAAAAGGGTGTTTTATCAAAAACTCCTGACGGATAGCTTTGCATGTCACTGCAGACTGATAACCCTTTGTTCCATTTAGCAACTGTAAATAATCATTAACGTGTTTCTGTTATGGTGGCTCGGTCATGAACGTACCAGGGGGAGCTGTGAAGTGGGATGAGCTATTTCTGTGCATAGTCTCAGGGGTAATGAGCCAAGTCACTTTTGTCTAATCTTAATGTGAGGATGACTCAAAGTTTAATTTGATGCAGGGTGAGTTTTGGTACAAACACCTCATATTATATTCATTTTATCCTTATGTGTAAGGAAACATTTTTTCCATCTTAATCTATTTTAAAGTTTTTATAATTGTATCATGTTACCATGACCTTCAGTGTGTTTTAGTGCTTTACTGTCATTTAGAAGAAAAATTATACAGGTTTTAAATTGCCTTATTCATAAAAGACTATGCTTCAGCTAATTAAAATCCTATATAAGTTGAGTAAAGTCCACCTGTGTGATAATACCTTTTGAATTAATAAAGCAGTTTTGTGAATCTTGGAGGTTTATAAAAGAGGAAGCAGCATTTTTAACATCAAACCAGAAATATTAAGAATAATTGTGGGCAAATTTTTAAAACAGTTGAATTATAAAACTATTTTCACATTTTATACATCTCAGAGAACTTCTTAATCTATTAATATAAAATAGAAACAGTTTGCAGAACTGACAGGTAGGGTAAGAAATCTC